TAAACCCTTAGGTTAGGTTTAAACCCATAACTTAAACCCTTAGGTTAGGTTTAAACCCCTAATTTAAACCCTTAGGTTAGGTTTAAACCCATAACTTAAACCCTTAGGTTAGGTTTAAACCCCTAATTTAAACCCTTAAGTTAGGTTTAAACCCATAACTTAAACCCTTAAGTTAGGTTTAAACCTGTAATTTAAAGCCTTCGGTGAGGTTTAAACCCTTAGTCTAAACCAGTAAGGTTTAGGGTAAGTGTCACAGTCAGGCTGTAGAAATGAGTTAGAAAAAAAACAGGAGTCAAACGAAAGTCCCCACAAGGATAGAGAAACACTGTGTGTGTGTGTGTGTTTTTATACAGTGATATAAAATAATCAGGTCATTATTTTGAGGCTGTGTGTGAAAAACTGAAATCTGAGATTACAAAATAAAGCGGGATTAAAAATCTGAGAACATTTCTCTATACTGGCCTTCAATGGTTTCCCAGCATAACCTGAAACAGCATAGATGAATAGAGCTGCGTTCACAAAGGACAGACTAGCAGATTAATAACTCGAATGAATCCCGTTTACAAGTGAAAACATGGTCTGAAGCAGCGGATCTCAGACTTCTGGCTGGGCCTTTTTTCCACACACCCCAATAATTCCAGCACTGGAAAAAAGATCTAGAAATAAGGAAAACTTTCTTAAATGAAGTTTATCTACCCTTAAATGAGATAGTTTGCCAGTGGAATGAGTCAGTCATTCTTTATAATGCGGTGCCTTTTGCATCTCAATCAGTTTTTTCTGTAAATATAAAGATGTTTTATAATATAGAGTTCTTATGAAATACAAACTATGGTCTCTTATATAATTAAGAACATGACACCTACTTTCTGCATATTATTTTATTTTATTTTGTTTTGTGTGTGTGTTTTTTTTGCCTTATCCCCACTTTTTTTTTTGTAAAAGTAAAAACAATCCGCTTTGTTTAAAAAAATATATAAATATATAACCGCAGATGTCTGTGTGACAGTGATTGGCCTCCATGTTCTGAATGCTGGCGTACCATAAATGATAAATGATGAACAGTTTAGTTGTTTTTATTATTACTATTGTTATTATTTTTGTCTTTGTTTTTTTCTTCTTCTTTTGGTCTCTGTAGCACTTTAAGATTTCTTTGAAATGTAAGGTGCGTTACAAATAAAATCTATTATTATTATTATTATTAGTTTGTGCCTTCAAGTCGTCGCCCATAGGAAGACGTTACTGGATATATGTTCTAGTGTACAGCCTTGTTTTCAAGAGTAAATCTTATAATCTGCCAAAAAAAACAAATCCCAAATGTTGACACCCAAAAGGCCCTGCATTTAAAGAATGACCCACATTTTTTAACTCTTAAAACAAGATAATTAGATAATATGCACTTGAAATAAGAGACAGCAATTGTTTTTTCTTATTTCAAATAACTGGAGAGCTCCTTCAGTGACAGACGGCTGCACCTTAAATGCACCAGTGAGCGTTATCACAGATCCTTCCTCCCAGCAGCTGGAAGACTCTAGAACCACCACTGTTCCCAGCAACCTCAGTAAATGGTTCCATTCATGCTGGTTTTGCTCAGTTTCTACCTCAGTCAGTTCAATAACCTGCTGCTGTCATTCTGCACATCTGATGGTGATGCTGTTTTCAAATATCCGTTACTGTAAAAATGTCCATAGCTGGATATTGGTTATTTATTCTCCAGGTGCAGTTTTATATAATTTCCCCACTGTGGGACAATAAAGGGATTTTCTATTCTAAATGTAAATTGTCTTGCTCCATTGGCAAAATGTCTCACTTACCTCAGTTCAACAAAAAATTCACTTAATTAAAAGAGAAAACTTATTTAGAGTTACATTTTTGTATTACGGCAGTTAAATAAAATTCAACTGCGGGAAATGAAATATTGCAACAAAGACAGCTATTATCTCCTTTAATCTTTTTAACTGTTTATTTCAGCATCGATCAATAGATCAAAAAAATTATATTTATCAAAATTGGTAATAATTGATTTCTCCCAGGCCTCCCATGCAACTGAACTAGCTGCCCCCCCCCACTTTGAGAACCAGTGTTCTAGAAAATGCTGCTTTAATCACGCCTAAACAAACTCTGTGTCTAAACACAGTTCAAGGGTATGTTACATATGAAAATAAACTCTTTTTGAATAAATGCATGACTTTGTGCATATTTGTGAGTAGCATGTCCCTCTGGCCCTTCATCATGTCTCTGAATCTGTAGTCACAGATATCACTTAAATGGGCTCGTTATCTGCAGCAAACAGCATGATGGAGTCAGTAGCAGGAGGCTTGATGAGGACGAGGCTCACGGATTCATAGAACAAGCTGCAAAAACAAATCAAGTGTGTGAAAATGATGGAAACAAAGTTTCCTTGGAATTCGGGGAGCAGTGAGGAGATTTTACCTTCATTAGAGGTGATTCTGTTCGTCACATGAGCGTGCAGACTCCAGACTGAAACGGTTGTTCCTTCCTCTGAGCCACAACATCCAAGCTGAAAAGCAGCACACAGACAGAATTCATTAGACCAAAATAAAGCTCATTATGACATTTTAATCCTGGGAATGTTTGCCCCCCTGTGGTAACATACAAGTACCACAGGGGGGCAATGTTTGCTAATGAATTCAAGCCATTAGCATGGGAAGTCCCATCCTTACACAGAGATCATAGTGGCCTTACACAATGGTTCTGATCAGAAAGACACGTGATTAGCGGTAGGTCAGGTGGTAACCAGGCAGCGTTAAAATTTCCCTTGAAATATATGATACTGGTTGCCTTCCTCAAATAAAATTTCGCTCTGATGGCAGAACATCTCCATTAATCTTCGTTTCGCAAGTCAGTTTGGTCAAGATTCCATTGTGTCTTTCTTTTTTCTTTTTTTTTTATTGCTGTGCAGAAAATTTCCAGCTGCTGGAAAATGTTTGCCTCTTCTGGCCTCCTTCCAATAATGGCCTGGACCAAGATGTACCTCTAATGGCCTATATTAGAGGATTTACGGTATGCATATGTGGATATGGACTTCGATAAATAATATTTGCACTAAAACATTTCAGTTTGTGCTGTAGAAATGTGAGATTGACCTGGATATTATATTAAATTAAATATACGGTTAAAAGGCAACTTTGGCCAGATGCAGGTTGATAAAAAATGTAATGTTTAACTTTTTAAGCTTAAGGATTTACTTAAAGCCGGTTGGCATGGAGGTAAAGGGAGAACCAAAAGTATGTTATTCTCGCCACCATCCACTGGACTTAAGGTGCACTTTCTCTCAGGCTGATTGTGGAGGAGCTTCCACAGCAATGGGAAAGATAACTGATGATTAGAAGGATATCTCTGTTTCCTTTATAATACAAATCCTGGGGCTTTTAAGAGAGCTGTTTGTCCAAAAATAGAGGATAAATAAGAACACAGATCAAAGAATCTACTTTGAGGTACTTTGTCATTTACATTGTTTGACAAAAGTGCATGTACTCTGGAGAATGAGGAGATCCTCTCTGGATTATTGTTGAGTTTCAGGCTTTTATAGAGTAGCACCAACAAAAACCTGGTAACGGCTTCAAAAACATGCAGATTGAAACGGGAAAACCTTCTCCAACCCTTAATAATGGGAGTGGTTGAGGTCGTTATTGGCCTGTAATACCCAATGGCCCATTCCTCTGAAAAGGCAGTCGTTAACGGTCATTGTTGGACTGGCTGACCTTTTATTTTATTTTTTTCTGTTCCCCTGCATAGCGATGGGGGTTAAGATGGTACTGGGAAGGAATCCAGTGTATTGCTTCATTGTAGGTTTTTGAGAGCTGAGTCCCCTCCCTCTTTTTAAGGTTGGTTTTTCTCTTTTAACATAAATGCCTTCATTCAAACCCATTTCAAACCACCTATCTTCTTTATTCATTCTTTATTATTTATTCTTTATACCATTTTGAACTGAGAAAGCTTCCTGCATGGGAAACCAAACCTCTTCAAACTTGGTAAAGCAGTGGTTTATTTTTTAACGTCTTGGAATGACTACGATGTGGATGACGGAGAATCTCCACCAGCAGTGTGGATTACTTGTTTCTTTACTTGCTGTAATTTATAGAGAAACTCACAACTAAAAATCTAATTCTTAATGTCTCAGTATTTCTATAACACACTGTTTTTGTTCATTAATTTGAAAAACAGGAAAAGTTTAGTAGGTCTCACCTCTGAGAAGGTCTAAAATGGGTGTCATCCTGTGAATGGAAGCTATGGGCACCCTCTGCAGTGGGTGCGCCTCCAGGTTGGCTGTGGATGGAGATAAGAGATGGACAGATCCCTCTGCCTGACTCTGTGGTTGTGCTTGATAGATGATGAGCCGTCACAATAGGGTTCCCGTTAGAATCCAGGGGGGCGTCCTTCTCACAGCGGGGTTTTAGCAGCTCTGAGTCAGACTCTAGAGAAGACTCTACCACGATGTTGGGTAGAGGGAGGGGTGATGGGTATGCCTCTGTGTGGGAAAGCTGTAGTTTCCTCATGTGGTTGACAACTGAGGCTACATTGAAGGCCTGCTGTGGGATAAAGCAAACACATAAAAATTACTATGGAAATTATTACTTGATATCAGAATACCAATTTTGTTCTGTTTTATTTTTCACACCAATCTTTTTGTTTGGGTACAGGATTTTATGGACTATGAGCTCAACTCACTATAAGCCACGCCCACTATTTGTTTTGCTGCTGATATCTAGCAAACTGTCTCCCACCAAACCTGTAGGGGGAGCTCTGTATAAAGTCCCTGGAGTACGGACGAAGAATTCAATTCACTTCAAATCAATTGCCTCTATATTTATTTATAAAGCGCCAATTCACAACACATGTCATCTCAAGGCACTACAGATGTAATTCAACCAGATCATTCAGTCAAATTGATATCTAAGGAAAACCAGTTGATTGCATCAACTTATACTAAGCATGCTTGTAGTGACAGTGGAGAGGAAAAACTCCCTTTAAAAAGGAAGAAATCTCAAGCGGAACCAGACTCGGTATGAGCGATCATCTGCCAAGGTCGACTGGGGTTCAAGGAGACAGAAGAATGCTAGTTCCTGTTAGCTTGTTAGCTTACAGCAGTAAGAGCTTCCACTGAAAGATGGGGCTTCGTCAGCTCTTTATTTGAACTTTTAGGAGTTGAGCCCAGTCTCTTCTTTGGTTCGTCAGCAAATGTGGCAAATAAATGTCAAAATGTGGGAATCCGGGACATTTGTTCTGCGTCGTGCCTGCTGCTAGCTAGGTAGCAGTGCTAAATGAAACTCTGACTTCCCCCCTCTGGCGGTTGGGAAAAATCCACAGAAAAGCCGCAACCTCTTATAAGTCACATGATTCAAAGCGTTGGAAAAAAGTGGCGGCTTATAGTCTGGAAAATATAATACTCTATAAAATAAGTCCTATACCATCATCTCTAAGATACGCCTTTATTTTGAAATCCAAATTGCACGCGACTATAGAGAAAAGGTTATTGGTTATTATCATTTCTATATTTGGAAGGAATCTGTTGCCTGGTGCCAGTTAAAGCTTAGAGGTTGAAAGGCTTAAATGATGAGTTGTTTTAGCGAGATGATAGTAACGTAAATAACTGTCTTACATGGGCAGGTGATGTCTTATAGACTGATCGCAAAGTTGCTGAGTAAACTGATGGGAAATGGTAGGGATGCACGATATAATCGGCCCCCTATCGGTATCGGCCTTAAAACTGAATAT